AGACTTCGACCATTGTGATTCCTGGCTTCTTCGACTGGCTCCTGGTTGCCTCTATCACGTTCACCTCAGAGGGCTCAGCATAGTGGGCTTCAGCCTGCAATGGATTTGAGTCGACAGCCATGGGGGTTTTGTCAGCAAACTTCAACCTCCCTTCTTCGATAGCGTCTTGCACAAGATTCCTGAAAAGAAAACATTGAGAAGTTTTATGGCCCAAAAAATTATGATATTTGCAAAAACCTCTCTTCTTTCTTTGATCAAGAGGAGGCACTTTTACCCCTGGGGGTACTATCATTTGGCCATCTTTAACAAGCAAGTCGAATATTTCATCACATTTTGTGATGTCAAAACTATAAGTCTTTTTGGGGAACCTATCGTTGGTCCTTTCTGGACCAATGGGATTTTTCCCACTTGAGGGGACTAACAGTTTACAAGAGTATGGTGGCCCTTGTTTCAGTTCTGCTAAATCGACTTCTCCTTCTTCGACAGCTAAAGTATCTTCGAAGGATTCCGGATCTTCGTCATCCATCTCAATGTACGCTATCCTCTCTCTCTTGTGAGTTTTCGTTGCCTTTGCTTTTTCAGCTTTGAGGCGTTCTACCTGTCGAACTCTATCGGCCAGTTGGGCCATGTCTCTCAGGTATTGGGTGTCTAGCTTCTTCCTAATGGAATAATCTAAACCACCTGCGGCTATTTCGACTAACTCATGTTCTGGCACTTGTGTAAAGCATCTCGCCTTGAGCAACCTAAACCTATTTAGATATTCGTCTATAGGTTCAGTGAAACGTCTCTTCACACTGGCCAATTCTTTCAGGCTTATCTTGGTTTGCCCCATGTAGAATTGTTCATGGAACAATCTTTCCAACTGGGTCCAGTGATGGATCGAATTGGGGGAAGAGTTGTAAACCAAGTAAAAGCGTTCTTTGTTAAAGAACTCAAGAAGTACTTGATCCTCAGGTTTTCGTTATTCGAAATGTCACCTGCTTCGATCAAGTATCTCGCCACATGCTCGACAGTAGATTCTGTCGTGTCCCCAGAAAACTTAGTAAATTTGGGGACTTTGCATCTAGGAGGTAAGTCTGTCTGTAACACGTACTCTGACAATGGAGATGTAAAGTTGGGCCTTCGAAAGCCCATGTTCATCCCATTTTGAGTCATGATCCTTTCGATCATGGTTGCCAGATTATTTTCCAAACCCGCATTCTGGTATTGGATATGCTGGACTACTTCGTCAGCATTTTGGTTTCTGTTAATTAACCTTACCTCTGGGGTTATTACCCTAGGTTCCTCGACAGGTTGCTCCAATCGTGCCCTAAGGTTTTCTTCGACAGGCTGTTGAGCCTGGTTGATGGTGGTTTCTTCCTCTAAGAACATCCCCTGGTTTCCCCTTATTTGCGCCCTTTGGGGTTGTCGAACAGGTTGGGGTACTCCAAAGAAATCAGTCAAACGCGTCATTTGCGCTGTCACTTGCTGATTCGATTGAGTAGTGTTTTGTATTAGAGGGTTTAGCACTGTACTCAAAGTTTGTGCCAACATTTGCACCATATCATGGTTGCTTTCGTCCATTTGTTGCCTTAAGACTGCTGTCGAGGCATTTGTAAGGCCATGGGCTACTTGGGACGTTCCTCCTAAGAGTTGGGTCCTATTTCTATTCGCCATGCCTACTCCAGAACCTTGGAGTGGCGAAGAGGCACTCACTAAAGGGTCTGAAAAAGTGGACGCAGCATTCGTCAGGCTAGCCAATTCAGAAGTTGGCATACCATAGAGTGGCATAAATCCTGGTGGCGCAAAAGGTCTTGTGCCTAAATTTCCCCTTGGTGGGGGAGTTCCCAAAGGCATCCTGGGGCCCGTGAACGAAGGTAATGGCCCCGTTGCTGTGACCGTTACTGCTGGTGTCGAACCAACAGTTGTCACTTCACTTACGGTCGTACTAACCGTTGCTCCCACACTCGTTTGTGGTATTTTGTTATTGTTTGGCGGATTCGCCATCTCTTCCCTTCTTCTGGCAGTATTGTTATCGTTAGTGTATATTCTACCACTTCTCAATAACATACAACACTCCTCGAAAAGATGAGATTATTTTCAACAACCAACACACAGTCCCACCGGGTGTGCCAATTTGTTTACCAGGGTATTTGGTAAACAACCGCTGATCCTCCAAATGGTTACTTATTTGGTTACTCGCAGGATCGATCAGATTGATCCTAGGACATAGGTTGGTTTTGAAGTTTTGATTAAATTGGATATTAGTTAAATGACAATAAAATGAAGAGGCTTTAAATAAATTGCATGAAGAAAGGACTTGGTAAAATAAATAAGGCTTTAAATGAAAGGGTTCGACAGGAAAGTAAAGAAGAAAGCAAATAAATTTTTGGGAAAGTAAATGACTTTGATTAATAAAGTTGGTGTTTCACACATACATTTCTCAACAATTCTTTCTCACACGCTGGGTACTCGAATCTATATGAGTGACTTTGTATAGAATTGTGAACACACGCGAGAAACTACATGACTACTACTATTTATACTAAAACATCCCAAGTAACCGTCGGGCAGTTACACTGCTTCGAGATGATTCCACTTGGCACGTTCTCAATGTTCGACGCTCCAGATCTTCGCACGTCACACTTGGTAACCGCTGGAAACCGTTTTCCCTCCAAACGCTTGAATTTCAAACTGCTCCACTCTGAACCATCGAACACCTTCGTCGAGAAGCATCTTCGACGAGAAACTCCCTCGACGTCAAAGGCAACCAACTTCTCCCTTGGAAGAAATCTTTTAAGTACCTTGCCATCTTTCGATGGGCATTTCGACAGACCTAGCTAGTCGAAAACATCCTTCAGCTTTAATGGCTGACATTAATAAAACAAGGGTGTCGAATTTAGGAGCCAACAGGTAGTAAGTTTAAGTATTTGATAGGGTAGACTAAATACAAACTCGAGTTCTTTACTATTTGAAGAATAAAATTCTTTTTATGACTATAACTTTTAATTCCCACACCTTACAAATAAATCCATTCTTTTCTCAAACTCATAAATGCGAGAAATTATCGAACGACAATTCAATAATCAATATCTGTGGACACGATAAATTCCCGGATAAATATTTCCAAAACTTTTGTTGCTTGCCGTTTTACCGCCTCAACAATCAACTCATATTCCTCATTGTGAAGATGTATATACTCTAAGCTTGGATTACACTCAACACTTGAATTATATATTATCCTAAAAACTATCTGCAGAAATTCAAGTCACAAATTATCAAGTCAATAATTATATATTATCTTTGTTTGTCTCTTATTGCCTCCAAATAAACCATATTCCTACAAATGATATATGATTTCAAAATGCATTAAAATCTCCTAAAACACATTTAAATTTCTAAAATTTCTTATATTAATTTATGTATCATGTTCCTTGCAGAATGGAGACGAAGAAGCATGTCATCAAGATATGGAAGAAGAGGAAGAAGAAGAAGGATGAGATGATCAAAAAGAAGAATATTATGAGGCATGAGTTTAATTAATAGTAGTTGTGTTTTATATTATCTATCTCTTAGAACTTTTGTTTTGAATTTGGGATGTATCATGTTCGGAGCCCAATTTGGTTTTGTTTAAGAATGATAATATCAAAACTTATCTTATATTTTTGCGACTTATTAGTCGGTAGCATCACTTGATGTAAAGACTTACTTATTTCTTAATGAATATTTTGATGTTGTGCCTTAATATATATTTTCTTGTATAATTAGATTTTAATTTTTTTAATCAATATCTACATAAATGAGTATTCTTGTTTCAAGAACTTTTATATTGATCTAAAATGATTCTTTATGCCATGACATAAAAAACAACATGGTCACAACTATGCGGCACAAAAAGAAACTGTGACGTACTTAAATGGAGTAAAACCATGAGCAAAAGGTAGCCGCGATTTTAATTAGTGACCTTAAATTAAAACCCTATACATTAAATAAGAACCATGGCTGGATTCGACCACTGTTAATAACTAAAGCGCAAGATAAACCACGACCTTAACCAAGACACCTAAATCGTGATCTATTCAAGCCACAAATATATACAAAACGTGGCCCAAACATGAAAATCGTGGCTTATAAAGGTCACGGCTGCATATTTCACAATAACTTATTCATGACCAAACCGTGACCGAAATTTACAACCACGATTATTTTGCATATGACCACTGTTTTATGACCGTGGCAGATGATTTTTTTTTTGTAATGACAGTTTTTCCTTTTTTTAATTTTCAAAATATATTTTGCAAATAAATTTACGAAACAAGTTTTTTCATTTTTTATCTCAAACAATTTAAAAACAAGAGATTCACAAACATATTTTAGTTTTTTCTTCAAAATAGTTTTTTAATACTCATTTATAAAATAAATTTTAAAAATAAAAAAACCAAACTCATTTAAAGAGACACTTAGAGTTTGATTTTATTTATTTATTTATTATTGGTGAGATGGAGTTAAGAGAGTAAATAGTATATTATATGTTCATATGTTAAAAATCAAATTTGGTAAGTAAATAAAATATAGTTGTGTTTAGATGAGTTTGAGTAAGTGTGTCATAGTTTATTTCACACCACTTTGATTTTCTCTTTGTCTTTAGTTCTACTCTTCCTTTTGTTTCCTTGCCTATGTTGTTGTAACTTGTAACATGTTCTTGTTGTTGGTGTTGTTGGTGTCATTCTCTCTCTTTCTCTCTCCACTCTAACTAACACACAACACAAGTTTCATTTCATTTGCTTCTTCAACGCTCCACAACACGTAAGCAACAAAATATATAAAACTACTCACTTAATGATTCTCACGTCCCACACTTTTCTTCAATCCAACTCCAGCTCAATATCCAACTCTTACTATTTCCCATTCTTAAAACTAAATCATCATTCTCAACACTTTCTTAATTCAGAAAATTCAAATCTAAGCACATTCCTTTTTTTAGTTTATATTACAAGTAAAAGCCTTTTTCATTGCCAGCCATGACCCAAGTTCTCCACTCTCCACCTCATTTTGCTTCGTCACAAAGATCACCCTCAACTTCAACCTCTTCTTCTCCTCTTTCTTCATTCTCTTGCCATGCCATTTTTCAACCTCCCTCACACCCACATTTTCCACTTTTTGAACTTCTAGTTACACTTTTCAGAAAATCATTATTTCCTTTCAAGAATACTGTCACCAAGGACCTCTCTATCATGGATATAAGCCCTCCGACTAACGTGCGTCATGTCGCGCACGTTACTTTTGATAGGTTCAATGGTTTCTTGGGCTTGCCTGATGAGTTTGAACCTGAATTCCCTAGAAGACCTCCTAGTGCTAGGTATATTTAAGACTAGTTTTGCGATTGTGTACCTTTTTATTAATCTAATCTGTGTTTTTTGTTGTTTGATTTTCACATGTAGCGCAACTGTGTTTGGAGTTTCGACAGAATCAATGCAGTTATCTTATGATTCAAGAGGGAATAGTGTGCCAACAATTCTTCTGTTAATGCAAAGGCATCTGTATGTTCAAGGAGGATTGCAGGTTAATCACTTATATATGATAAGTGCTTGTGCGATTTACGAATGACTAGTTTAACCGTACTGCTTGGTTTTAAAGTTGAGTTTGTATATGTAGGTGGAAGGGATTTTCAGAATTAATGCAGACAATAGTCAAGAGGAACAAGTTAGGAATCAATTGAACATGGGATTGGTTCCTGAAGACATTGATGTACATTGTTTGGCAGGACTAATTAAGGTATGAAACTTCTAGATGATTGGATTTGGATCAAGTTCCTTTGTTCATGTTGTTGATGTGTTTGTGAATGTTTGTTTAGTGAGTTGATTTGAATCGTGATATTGCAAAAACTGAGTCTCTTTTGTGACATGATAATGATGAAAAGTTCAATATTTTTGTACTTTTCAAGGCTTGGTTTCGGGAACTTCCTACCGGAGTTCTAGATCCGTTATCACAAGAGCAGGTAATGCAATGCCAAACTGAGGAAGAGTGTGTTGAACTAGTCAAGCATCTACCTCATACTGAATCTACACTCTTGGATTGGGCTATCAATCTAATGGTTGATGTCGTCCAACATGAAAATCTCAATAAGATGAACGCGCGCAACATAGCCATGGTTTTCGCGCCAAACATGACTCAGGTTTGTTCCAATTCATTAAAGTTTTCTCTCTATTACCTTTAGGTTCAAGTTAATGACAGTATTTGGCTTTTGTGATTGCAGATGGCAGATCCATTCACTGCATTGATGTATGCGGTTCAAGTGATGAACTTTTTAAAGACACTTATATTAAGGACACTACGCGAAAGAAAGGATTCGGTGGTGGAATTGAATCCTCGATTAAATTTAGAACCTTCTGATGAGAACGAACAGTGTGGAGTTTTTGAGTCGTGTCAGAAAGAAGATACTGCAGCAGTAGACAACAAAGCGGCTAACGAAAATTTTGTCTTAGAAAAATCTGTCTTAGAATGTTCACCTGAATCATCATTGCTCGAAAAAAACTCCTCGACTAAAGGAGAATCTGGTAGTTTGATAAGCACTTCTGAGAATCCGATTTGCAATGAGGATTTGTATTGTGAGTTTCCGCCGAAAAGAAACATGGGAAAGAACAACAAGTCTGGTCAATCAGGTAGTTCAAATGCTAAAAAAGGGTCTAAAAAGACAAGAGGACAGCAACCTGTGAACAACGGAAAAGTATTGGTCGAGAAAAAGGGAACGAAGACTTTGAGCAATACAGATACAAGATCTGACCGAGTCGAAGCTTGGCGGTGAAAGAAGTATTGAGTTGTAAATTGATTATTTCACATTATGCCATTGTAAGTTTGTTTTAATAAGTCTAAGGTTGCAAAATATTTAAGGAAGTTTGTGAAATGATTCATTCCAGTGTGTTTTCTGCATTTCCTGTTTATATATTTTTCATCAAAAATAACACTATTATGACCACACTAACATTGTAATGAAATATCATCCGCTCTTACACAATTATTCCTTACTCATAATTTCATCTGTCAAATGAGTTGGCATGTTCTTACATAGCTTATATATATGGTAATACGATACGCTACGTGTTTAAGTTTGAGTGGAAACTTTTTTTTCTTGGGCCATGATAGTGAAATTAGAACTTTACCAACATTAATGAAATCAACTATATTGGAAGGTTGATTCTGGAGGCATCAAGGACCACAAAGGTAGACCTATTGATGGTATATTTATGGAGGTGGGAGATATCAGGAGGAAGGAAAACCACACAGCTATGGAAATTTAGAGTCACAAATAAATGCTGAAAGCTGAAAGCTATACTCTCCGATCAAGACACATCAATGGATCATTTTAATGAATATTGCTATATTAGGATAAGGCAGAAAGAGAAAGGATTAAGCGAGAACCAACCATTTTCCTAGAATGGACCGGAAATATATCGATTGGATCGAATATTCCTGCTGCTTTTTCGAGTCATGATGATAAAATCATAAGTGGAAGTGGTATAACTAAAGGGCACCATGCCTTAGTTACTTGTTTGTGGCAATTCTACTTTGAACCCTTATCCTAATGCAGAAAGAAAGCAGAATGATTTTTGTTTTTAGTAACACCAATTGATATTGAGAATGTGATTCCGAATCCAAACTCTAAGGCAAGTGCAATACTTAGGGTGTGCAAAATACTTACTAAATAAACTGTTATCATACAGTTAAACTACTTGATATAAATTGTAACTTGTTTTTCATAAACAAGCAGCATGGAGAACTTATTGAAATAATCTTAAAAAAACAGTTTATGAACATGTATAAGCTATTTTCATAACTTTTCCTGAACATATACACAAGTGCTTGACATAAAATAAGATTAAGAATAGAGATTCATCTTAAGAACACCTATCTTGTTGTGAGATACCTAATACCATATGAGCTAAGATTTGGTAGTCTAATGATTCTGAAATTGTATGATTTAACTTTTTTCCAATATATGAACATGATACTGTGGTACTATATTTCATATGGCAAAGTCCATAAACATGATGACATGTTGCATGCACTATTAAATTTTGTGGAGCCACTTAGACTCCTTACAAGTGGGAAATGATTAATGATTAAAGGTCATTAGAGAGAAGGGTGTAGCTATATATCTATAGAATAAGAATTGTCTACAATCAGCAATTCAACGTATTCAGATCACCGGTGACCAATCTATACCGAGTTTGAAATCTAAACCGTTTGATCTCAATTCAATGGCTAACAATACAGTAACTGCGTGAATGTGTAGAATTCATATATCACGTGTACGAAAATAGTCTTTGCCATTAAATATCAGTGTACACTGGACAGCACCGTGACAGGATCAAATCACTGCTTAAAATTTGCACATCACATTCCAAGAAAGTCGTGGTCCTGTCCCTTATGTCCTTTCTCAAAGGGAACTTGTAATTGGTTGGCCATCTGTACAAGCATGATCATGATTATTGTACCTTTCCTTTGTATGTATTTAGGTAGAAGCTTATAAGATTGAAAGATATTTTGTCTGGTGCAGTTAGTTATTACACGCAGGATCAAAATCATGCTGACCGCACGCTAATGCAGATCTAGACTGTCTGATATTGATCGAAAAGACCTATTTTGAGACTGTTTTTGGATCAATTTTCCAAAGTTGAAATATGAACCGTTTGATTAAAATCAAATAGCGAAGACCGCGTGACTGCGTGAATGAGATTCTCCCAATGGCTAAGAATAAGGTCTAGTTACTGCGGATTTTTATGAATATGGTCCTCAAATCCTGGTCAAGCATAGCATAACCACTCATTTATAAGCCACATGAAAATATACAAAAAATCAGATCCTCTTGCAACATATATAATAGCATACTCCTCTTGATTATTTTTCGAATCATCTATTCGTATTCCTCCTTACCATTTTCTTCTCTCACTCATCTTTGAGAAACCTATTTATCAGCAGAATACTAGCTCACTAGCAAGCAAGGCCATGGCAACCTGTGAGAGCCTGCAACACATCTTTGATAACATATTGCCAGAAAATCCAACACTGCTTGAATCCCTTTCATGGAACAAAATTAAACCAGTAAAATCCTTAGAGTCCTCTTCCTCTACTTGTACTGAGATATTTGGTGAACTCCATTTTAAGGAATCGTCACCACCTTCATCAACAACAGAGATAAACAACACAAAGCTAAACCAGAACAAAGACTCTGAGTCTTGTGATACTAGTCAAACACCATCTTCACCTTCTTTTTTAATTCCTCAGATAACAAGCCCTGCCAAGAGCAAGGACAAAAGCAGTGGCAGCTTTTCATGGTTGAGTTCTGAAAGCATGCATCTTTGTACGGAAGGTCTTGGTTTCGAGAGCTCAGATGATGTTGAGGACTCAAAGAGTGGAATAAATGAATATAGGCAAATCGATCAAAATGAGAAACATGTCGAACATCGTTTATCTTCAAGAGATCATTCTTATGGAGAATGTAGGAGGTCAAGGGTTAGTGAATACCCTCCTCCCATTTCAAGCATAGGGAGAACAGGGAAGCCTGGGGTTTATTTCAGGTCTTATAGGGATAATGGAAGATTTGTCCTCGAAGAGGTAAGGATACCGACACAAGAGTTCCTTCGTGCTTATAGAGAGGATGGAAGGCTCAAGCTGCAGTTTGTTCATCCTCCGGAAGACGAGTTTATGGAAGAGGAAGGAGAAGAAGAGGATGATACAGGAAGCACAGATGATGAAAGACAAGATATTGGAAAAGAAGTTGATGATTGTGTAACACATCATTCAAGTGAAGAAAATGAGATTGCTTGATGGTCAAGTTACTAGTTAAGTTACTCAATTAACAAAAGGCGGAAAATTTGAGTAATCAAGACATCTTCTTCCCAACGGATGTAAAAAAAATATCATTGTTGTATAAACACCCTATTATATAGGTTTGTTTAGTTTTACTCTTCTCTACTTACGGGTTATAATTTTGTCTTGTTGAACACTTATCCCTTGTAAACCAGTATTGTTGAAGGCACATAAACCATATGTAATGTCGATATTTTACATTAAAAGTGTGTTTGATGTCTGACACTGATACAATCTATCTATATGTAATTACATTGAAGCGTTTTTATTTTCTCAAATTATTATTGGTGTCTTGTCTACATGTCTAATGTCAAGACTTTATTACAATCTGAAACTAAGATTCTATTGCATTTCATTTTGAAGAACATGCCATTGTCAAAAGTAATTCTTTTATGGAGGTTCACGGGAGACCTATGACAGGGGACAGCAAGACAGGAAAGAAAACATGAATACCCATTTATTAGTCCTACGCAAACAGTTCTAACTTCTACCAATCAAGCTGTAACAACAACCTATGAATTACAATTTTCAACTGAGTTGCTTGTGATATCTTCATCATGAAAATTATATATATATATATATATATATATATATATATATATATATATATATATATATATATATATATATATATATATATATATATATATATATATATATATATATATATATATATATATATATATATATATATATATATATATATATATATATTAGTAATAGTTTTATACATAAATCTTAAATATCAAAACATAGTCATGCAAAGGAAAATCATTATTTTAAATTTTTTGGTCTTCCTTTCACACTTTAAAAAAAGTACTAATATATTACAGAAGTGACAATGTAAGAGACTGTCATGGGATGATGAGAATAAAATTGTGAGTTTATTACAATACTTTTAACACATAACCTCAGCCAAATCAAAAATCAAAAATGAGATCATACATTTTGAAGCAAACACTCTTTATTCAATAGTGAGAGTTGAATCTAGGTTTGTGTTGACATCAAGTCATGCAACTCTTTATCTTTCCGCAGATGAGTGAAGATTTAAAAAAACCAGAAACCATAATCGAGTAATATGATTGCGAAAAGGACACTACATGAGAAACAAAACACCAAAATAAAAGGAAGTAATGTGTTTAAATTGTAGATAAAAAAAAACATAAAAATAGTTTGCTCATTGATCTTTAATGCGCATATTTATTAAATTACATGGAATTCACTGAAGGTGTTTTTGTGTTCTACCCTTGCTTTCTTGGAAGGTGATAAATGCTCTGGAAGTTTGAAAAGGCCTAAACCATCCCAGGCATAATTATACAACATTGACAAAGTTAAATGTTTATCTATCAAGGAACAGGATTCTTTCCGTCTAATGTTAAAAGCACCTTATATAGATCTGGACGCCGATCACGGAATACCCCCCAACAATGCCTTGTGGATTTGATTTTGTCCAAATCAAATCCTGCAATAAGAACTGCTTCCTCTTTATCATCAGCAATTGAAACAATTTCTCCAGTAGGTCCTGTTTGTTGAAAGAAAAGGCTTTTATCAATGGTCAAAGAGTAACATTTGTTTCCATTCTGAAAAGGAAACAGTTCAGTCAAATTACCTGCTATGAAGGAGTTTCCATAAAACTTTATCTCACTTTTTCCATGCTCGGTCTCAATTATCTCATTACCTATCCTGTTTGAAGCCACGAGAGGTACCTGAATTTCCCAGAATTAATTCATAAGATAAAGAACTAACTTGACATGAAAAAGGGACTAATTTGACACTAAAAATGAAAAAATGACCTATTTGAAACTTTAAATTAAGTTAGAAGACCTATGGTGCAATTTTTCCTATAAATATAGGTGGGTGGAGTAGCTAGTATTCAAAACCTACCAGATTGGCCCCAGCATGTCCTTGCATTACTCGTTTCCAATGTTCACGAGAATCGATGCTTTGATCATGAGGTTCAGATCCAATAGCAGTTGGATAAAATAAAATCTCAGCACCTTGAAGTGCCATTGCTCGGGCCGTCTCTGGAAACCACTGATCCCAGCAGATAGCTGACACGGAAAATTAAACAATTTCTTATGAAAGGATCGGCGTCTTAAAGATGAAAAATGAAACTTCTAAACTGTGTTTTCATGCTACAGCCTAAAGTCAAAACAGGGAAAATGTATTTTAGAGTCATGATTGTTTGTCTTAATATTATATTCACTCAAAATAATTGTTTGACACCTTTGTAGATATTTGGCATATTGGATTAACTTATTTGAACTTATCGACTAAACACACATACTTGTGATGTGACACTGTCCAGAAGAGCTTATAGAAACAGCTTATAATATATGCATAACTTATACATAAGCACTTATATTAGAAACACTTAAATATAAGTTGTTTATCCAGGGACATGGGCCAAAAAACTAGAATGTCAACAAAATTTCTTACCGACTCCAATTTTTGCATATTTTGTCTGGAAAACCTGTTTGGAAAAAAAGCCTAAATGTTATACAAAGTTTGCTGATCATAAAAAATAAGGAAAAACAAACATCTTCAAAGCAGTTCCCAACACTTACCTTAAATCCAGTATCACCCGGATTAAAATAGAACTTTTCTTCATAACCTGTCAGGAAGATAATATAATTAGTTATGATGTACACATAGTAAATGAGGCATATAAATAACCAGAATATTGCATACCCGGTCCATCTGGAATATGAGATTTTCTATAAACTCCAAGATCTGTACCATCAGCATCAATAATGGCTACTGAGTTATAATGAGCATTGTTTGCCTCCTCAAAGAAACTAACCGGTATGACTACACCTAACTCTTTTGCAAGTCTCTGCATCCTACATTATGCACATTAAAACAAGAAGATTCACTACAAAATAATGTTTAATGATCTCTGGTTGGCATGGAACCACTGAACCAGAAGCAAATACGAGAATTGGCATCTTCACTTCTTTTACCTCGTAATTGTAGGATGATCCTTATAGGGCTTAGCTCTTTGAATGAAATCCTCTCGTTGTGCCTGACAGAAGTAATAACCTTCAAAGAGTTCCTGAAATGACACGTGGAAGTTAGTTGAAAAAACAGTGCTAGGAGCATCCAGGGTTTTAATATACACACACCTGAATGAGAACAATGTTTGCACCGAGTTTATGAGCATCTCGAACAAGTCTGCATAATAAACAGCCATAATATCACAACAAAAACAGTTGCAACTCTATTCATTAATCTATAAATCATAATTTCATATTTAGGTTATAAATTAGGTTGAAATAGTGAGCAATCAGAAACTAATTAAATTAAACAAATGGGATTTGATAATATCAAAGGAAAGGTGGGATTTGAACAACAAGAAGAAAACCTTTCGGCGGTGGCGACATTGGTTGAGACATCATCGGTGCAAGCAAACTGAAGAGCAGAAACAACAACTTTTCTACCCTTGTGTTCCATGTTTGGTGTGAAGAGAAGAAATTAGATAACAGTGGTAGCTTATAATTTTCGGGTATTTATTCGGCAAAGCTTTAATAGATTCTGGGTGCGTGTTTTGGGAAAAACACTTTATGCGTTATATGGGTATTAACGTAAAAAACCATCTCGCTTGCGGCTTGTGGCTTGTGCTCGGAACTACTACCTCCGTACTTTGTGGAGGTAAATTAAAGCTTTTGGCTTTGTCGCTTTGATGTTATGCTATTGGTTTAAGAGGGTAGAATGGTAAATTGAAAATATGTGAACCAAAATTGAAATGTTATGCTATTGGTTTAAGAGGGTAGAATGGTAAATTGAAAATATGTGAACCAAAATTGAAAGATTGAGTTCAACCGAAGCAAGTAATTAGAAAAAAAAATGCAAAATTTGTAGGAGAGAATTAGGAGAAATTAACTTGTCAAACCCTCAGTTAAATCTTCACTATTAGAAGGTAATTTAGTATTTGTCATTTGTTGGATATTCTCATTAGGCTCTATGTGGCATTCTTATCTTTATTATTTTTGTGTATAAATAGGTGTATTAGGTTTACATTTAATACAATCAATTCTCCTCAATCATTTGTGGCAGCTTTATAGCATTTATTCATTTTCTCTCTTCTTTCTCAATTTCATCACCTTGCACCAACAAATTGGTATCTAGAACTCTTGGTTTGTTCTGAAATTTTGGGAAACACGAGTGATAGTGAGCTATATGTTTGATTTTTGAATCTTGAACAAAAATCTGAAACAGAATCGCACTGATTCTGTGGGTTTGGGAAACACTAAGTGAAAATCTGAGATCTGAGTTTTTGTGCAAGGTTTAAGATGAATGGAGGCAGTAGTTTGAACACTAAACTTCCAGTTTTTGATGGCAAAAACTGAAACAGGTGGAAGATACAAATGTGTGTGTTGTTTGGTGCTCAGGATGTTTTGGACCTTGTTTCTGAAGGTTATGTTCCAGTTGCAGCAGATGCTACTGAAGAACAAAAATCAGCAGAAAGAGCTACGAGGAAGAGGGATCATAAGGCTTTGTTCTATATCCATCAGTGTGTGGATGAAAGTGTGTTTGAGAAGATTGTTGATTCGACGACGTCGAAGGAGGCATGGGATATACTGGCCAGATATTATGGTGGTGACGTGTCAGTAAAGAAGGTAAAACTTCAGTCCCTACGAAAGCAATATGAAAATCTCAGCATGAAGAACAGTGAGAAAGTTTCTGAGTACATCTCTAGAATGATTCTGATCACTAATGAGATGAAAGCTTGTGGAGAAACACTTTCTGAACAGGTAATCATAGAAAAGATTTTGAGGTCACTTACTCCTCAGTTTGATTACATTGTTGTTTCTATTGAACATTCTAAAAATCTGGAAACCATGAGAATAGAAAAGTTGCAAAGCAGTCTATAAGCGCAAGAGTTGCGTCTGACTGAAAGAACTTCTGAGAGGGAAGTGGAGCAAGCTCTGAAAGCTTCTTTTGTCAAGAAGGACCAGAAGCAGAATAGACGTGGTGATAAATTCCAGAAGTCAGAAACCTCAACTTCTGATGAAAAGAAATATCAGAAGGGAAAGGAAAGGTATGACAAGAAAAAAGTTCAATGTTATTGTTGTAAACAGTTTGGCCATTTTGCCAGAGATTGTAGAAACATAGGAAGGATATCAGAAGAAGCAAATATAGCCAGAGGAGATTCTGATGATGAACCTGTGCTACTGATGGCTTCTGATTCTGATGGAAATTGTTCAGAAGATTGGTGGTATATGGGCACTGGCTTTTTAAATCACTTGACTGAGAACAAACAATGGATGATAGACTTTGACTCCAGAAGGAGAACAAAGATCAGATGTGCTGATGATAAGTACCTTAATGCATAAGGTATGGGAAATGTCAGAGTCATAGTGAAGAATGGAAAAAACATTCTGATCAAAGATATTTGGTATGTTCCTGGAATTAAAAGCAATCTGATGAGTGTGGGTCAGCTTATTGAGAAAGGTTTTACAGTGGTTATGAAGGATAACATCTTGACGTTGTATGATTCTAATCAGAAGTTGATTATGAAGTCTGAGCAGGGAAGCAACAGAACATTCAAGGTGAATGTAGAAACTTCTGAAGCGGAGTGTCTTAGTGCAGAAGGCGCTGAAGCTGACAGTAAGTTGTGGCACAAGAAGTTGGAGCACTTGAACTATAGAAGCTTAGGGCATCTAAGTTCTAAGAAGCTCGTACATGGTATTTCGAAGATTGTGAAGCCTCATAAGTCATGTGAGATATGCATGAAAGGCAAGCAACCCAGATTGCCATTTGCATCAGAAGTAGCCCCCAGAGCAAAGCATGCTTTGGGAGTAGTACATTCTGATGTGTGTGGACCATTTCCAGTACCTTCACTTGGAGGAAACAAATATTTTGTGTCTTTTGTAGATGAGTTCACAAGAATGACATGGGTAACACTCATCAAGTTCAAGCATGAAATGTTTACTGAGTTCCAGAAGTTCAAGGTGAAGGCTGAGAAGTAGTGTGGTCAGAAGCTGAAGATTCTGAGAACAGATGGTGGAGGTGAGTATAACTTTACAGAGTTCCAGAAGTTCTGTGAGGAGAATGGAATAGAACATGAGGTTACTGCTCCATATACTCCTCAGCACAACGGTCTTACTGAAAGAAGAAACAGAACTTTGCTTAATATGACCAGAAGTATGCTGAAAGAGAAGAAGTTACCTCACATGTTATGGGGAGAAGTTGTTGCCACATCAACATATGTTCTGAATAGGTGTCCAACAAAGAAGCTGAAGGAAATTTTTCCTTTAGAAAAATGGACTGGAGACAAGCAAAGTGTTAGCCATCTGAAGGTGTTTGGTTCTGTATGCTACAAACACGTTCCAGAGGCTAGAAGATGAAAACTGGATGATAGAAGCAAAACAATGTTACTGGTGGGGTACCACAGTACATGTGCCTATAAGCTTTATTGTCCAGAAACCAACAAAGTTGAAATCAGCATAGACATCATTGTGAAAGAGTCAGAAACATGGGATTGGAACAAGCTTTAATCAGATTTTGGTGTAGCGCCAACACCAGGGTTAGTTTCTGAAGATTCTTCAGAAAGTTCTGAAGACGAGTCAGAGTCAGAAGATGAAGACTCTAAAGATGAGTCAGAATCTCAGGGAGATTATGGTAGTGGATCTGATTCTGATCCTGATTCTGATGATGATCCAGGATCTGGTGGTGATTATACTTCTAGAAGGGAAAACTCTGAAGACATGGGGTATGGAGAACAAGTTTCCAGAAGTAACTCTGAAGGTGGTAATTCTGAAGGAAATAATTCTGGACAAAGTTCAGAAGCTAGCATTGTTCCGAGTTCTGGAGAAGCTTCAGAACAAGACCAGAGGCCACAGAGAATCAGACGAATACCAAGTAGGTTTGCAGATTTTAGCATGTTGAATGATACTGAAGTAGATTCTGAAGGAAAAATCGTTCAGTGTGCCATGCTAGTAGATTCTGAACCAGTGGATATTGAAGAAGCTCTCAAGAAGAAAGTATGGCTGAATGCCATGAAAGAAGAACTTGAGGCTATTGAAAGAAACAAAACTTGGAAGCTGATAGAACTTCCAAAAGGCAAGAAAGCCATCAGCGTCAGATGGGTTTTCAAGCAGAAGCTAAAGCCAAATGGATCAATTGGCAAACATAAAGCGAGACTAGTGGCCAGAGGTTTTCTTCAGAAACCTGGACTAGATTACATTGAGGTGTTTGCGCCTGTAGCTAGACACGAAATAATCAGACTGGTGATTGCTTTAGCTGCAAACAAAAATTGGCTTTGATACATCTGGATGTGAAGTCTGCATTTCTGAACGGTCCATTACAGGAAGAAGTTTATGTGTCACAACCTCCTGGATTTGTGAAAAAGAATCAGGAAGGGATGGTATACAGGTTAAATAAAGCTCTGTATGGACTGAAGCAAGCGCACAGAGCTTGGAATTTGAAGATTGATTCGTTTTTCAAGGAACAAGGGTTTCAGAAGTGTGAGATGGAGTATGGTGTTTATGTTCAGCATGAAGGGGTAAGAAAACACTTAGAAGGGGGGGTTGAATAAGTGACTATTTTCGTTCTTTCAATACAGAGCTCAAAACAGTAATGGAATAACACAGTTATTTTTATCCTGGTTCGTTTGAACTCAAACTACTCCAGTCCACCCGCCAAGGTGATTTCGCCTTTCTCAACAAGAACTTAATCCACTATAATCAACTGATTACAATCACACAACAACTGTTGTGACTAACAATGCACAAGTAAACTTACAAGTGACTAACACCACTAAGACTTAAATCTAGTCCTAGTCTGCTTGAGAAATCTGACCAAACTTGGTCTCTCACGGAACAAATACATAAGTATAATCTTTACAGATAATTGAAATAGAGTTTGCTTCTAATCAAGCTATATTACAACTGTGATTTTTCTTAGAATGTAATACACAATAATGTAAGAACTATGAGTTTGTAAGCTTTTGAATATTTCACGTAGTTTCTTGTTTTTCACTGTCTTGTTGGCTTGCAATAAATGTCCTTCTACTTATAGTAGGAGAAAATAAGACCGTTGTTGCCTTTAGAGGAATATGGAGAGCATTAAATGCTTTGCGTGTATCCTTGCAAAATTCCATTCTCCAAGAAACTAGTTGTAGGCACTTGAGTGTTTTCAGCCGTCTTTGCATTAATTAGCAAACGTCAGAATGTAAGAACGTGTTTCCTTTGCTTTGACAAGACACGTTGATTAAGACGTTGTTTCAGTATTTTCTTTAACTCAGAACATGCTTTATTCAACTTTTGGTCAAAGTGTTGCTTGCTAAGATCTTTGAACAGCGCTTGCTTTCAAGTTATCTTCAGAATCAAGAAGCCTACTAGAAGTTAGAAGATACATTTAACAAACGAGTGTTCTTACCAGAGTCAGCAGATGCGTTTGAATAAAAGGTTCTTATGTCAAAGAACTTCTTCATAATCTTTTCTTAGCAC